TGGAGGGTGATGGGGGTCAACGCCTGAGGGCTCCCAGTATGTGAGAGGGGGCAGGCTGGGCTGAGGGACACTCCCCCCCACCCCCACCCAATGCACGAATTTCGTGCACCGGGCCCCTAGTAGATTATATAATTCTGAGTCTCATCCCCACTTATATGACATGGCTTTATAGCCCTCATTCTGCATCATTGATGCTGCTACTATCATTACTTGGCTTTAACCAACCCTCAGGTAAGCAGGCAGTACATGTTTGGTCTTTGTTTTTGTTTTGGTTATCAGATCTCCTATGTATGGCCTGTGTGGCTCTTGCTCTTAAACTTATATGTGTTGCATTATTAGCCCTATTGTTTTTTCTTAGTCCAGGCCCCAAATATGGTGCATCGTTGGTCCTTACTTACCATTGTGGAATCCCTCTCTTTTTTCTTCCAGAACATGAAGGAATACCTTTCCATGTCTGGTCTATAAAGATTTCTCACTTCTGTTTTTCTTACTATGACTGTATATTTATTGAAATTTAAAAATATTTGTTTTATCATTTTATATGTTTGAATGGGAAGATGAGATTTTAATATATGCTCGACTTATCTTGAAATAGGAGGTTTTTATTTAACTCTTTTGTCAGTCATCTTGATGTGTGTGTGTGTGTGTGTGTGTGTGTGTATGTATGTATGTATGGGATAAGGCAACTGAAATTGATTTCCCTCCCAAATAACCACATATTTTATTTAAAGCTAGAGGCCTGGTGCACAGATTTGTGCACTGGTGGGGTCCCTCGGCCTGGCCAAAACCGGCTCTCCGACATCCCCCAAGAGGTCCCAGATTGTGAGAGGGCGCAGGCCAAGCTGAGGGACCCCATTGGTGCATGATCTGGGGGCTGGGGAGGGACCACAAGAGGGCTCCAGGTCATGTCCGGCCCATTTCGCCCAGTCCTGATCGGTCAGACCCCAGCAGCAAGCTAACCTACCAGTTGGAGCGTCTGCCCCCTGGTGGTCAGTGAGTGTCATAGCGACTGGTTGAATGGTTGAACAGTCGGACACTTAGCATATTAGGCTTTTATTATATAGGATTGTTATTAAGATTTCTGGAGAATTCAAAGTTACTGACAAGCCTTTTTTTCACACATCTACATGTTTTCTCCATTCTGCTGTATTACTCCTTCAAAGAGAAATAGGATTCGGGAACAATGAAATAATATTTTTTTTATTTCACAGAAAGGTTACCAAATCACAGAAAAAAGGGGTCGCCTTAGGTCGGAAAGTCCATAAGTGGTAAAGATTGACGTAAGGTATCCTGGTTCAGTGCCAAGTTCATTAAACTTTAGTGTAGCATAACCTTGTTACCATATTATCCTGGGCTTTTGACTGAATTATATTTGAAAAGCACACTAATAGCAAGAAAATATTACCCATTAAGATTGATAGAACTTGATCTTGGTAAAGCCCTTTAAAATTTTTTAAAAAATATATTTTTACTGATTTCAAAATGGGAGGAGAGAGAGATAGGAACACCAATGATGAGAGAAAATCATTGATCAGCTCCTTCTGCACATACCACCCTGAGGATCGAGCCTGCAACCAGGGCATGTGCCCTGATAGGGAATTGGACTGTGACCTCCTGGTTCAAAGTTGACACTCAACCACTAAGACACACTGGCTGGGTTAATATCCATACTTTTGAGATGATTAAAATTTTATTAGATATATAGTATGAATGCTTTAGGAGAAAGTTGTGGTGTTTTGGGATATATTGTTATATTTTTAAAAATATATATTGATTTCAGAGAGGAAGGGAGGACAGAGAGATAGAAACATCAATGATGAGAGAGGATCATTGATTGGGCTGCCTCCTGCACGGCCCCTACTGGGGGTGAAGCTCCAACTTGGGCATGTGCCCTGACAGGGAATCAAACCATGGCCTCCTGGTTCATAGGATAACACTCAACCACTGAGCCATGCCAGCCGGGCTATTACATTCTTAAAGTTGAGTTCTTATATAACATTATTGTCAACAAAGTAGAACTTGTGGAAACTGAGATATCTATATTTATAGTTAGTTTTTTTATAATGCTGTAGAGAGGAAATAAGGATGGCATTTTATAAAGTGGGAAATTTGTTTTTTCCTTTTGTAATATGAGTGTCAGGGTACGGAAAGGAAGAAGAATTTGTGCATACTTTGAGGTACTCTTTGTTGATAACCCAGGACTCACTGATTCCTTGTGGAAATATAATTGAGTCAACACATGTAAATTCACCAGGTGGTTAATTTATGAATTAAAGTAGCAAGATTTGTTTTTCTTTGTTAAAAAGTACCTTATTAAATAACAATACATTAGTAAGTGGCTGAGAGGGTCATTCTTGAATTTTTCCACTTTTAGTTCTAAATAAGATCACTTGCTGGATTTGTGTTTATTAAATAATGAATGAATTTATTTAAAAAATACAAGAATATCAGATAGAACTCTGAAGATTTCTGGCATTGGATATGACCTTGTGGAAAGTAACTGAAAATACAAATGATTTAGCAATTGTGAAAAATTGAAAACAGGAGATTAAATGTCTTAACCCCATAATGTAATTCTAAATGTTCAAGAATTTGTTGATGCATAGCTATTTCCAGTCATACTTTGAATTTTGCAGATAATCTTTTCATCAGGGAAAAGCCTTCTTGGCTCTTAAGTTTAATAAACAATTCCAGAAATTCTGGTGCTTGTCCAAACTGTTTGTTCTATTTTCTCACCATTTCTTCTCACACAGAAATGCAATCTATACTGCCTGGATCCTCTGCAAAACTGAATTGGACTTCAGAGGAAGTCAGCTATTCTCAGGATATTTCAAGGGTAACACCTTTCCAGATGACTTTTGAGGCAGGTTTTTTGTGTGTGTGTGGTTCTATAAATAATTGTTATTTTGGTTCTTTTTTATACAAATATAGTAACAGGAAAGAAAAGCTTAGGTGCATCACAGTTCAAACTTGAAATGAAATAAGGCATCAATTCCCAAACTTTCCTGCACAAATTTTAAATCATCTAGGAGCTTCCAAAATATTAATATTTGTGTCCCACTCCAAAAGGTACTGATTTAATTGGTCTAAGATGTTGGATTAGTCTGCTTATGCTGCTATAAAAAAATACCAGAGATTGGGTGGCTTAAAGTTGAGTTCTTTAGGGGAACAGAAATTTATTTTCTTATACTTCTGGAGGCTAGAAGTCCAAGATCAAAGTGCCTTGTCACTGTTTCTTCACATGTATATATCTGGAGAGAGCTGTCTGGTATCTCTTCCTCTCCTGAATTTATTTTTTTAAATGTATTTTTATTGATTTCAGAGAGGAAGGGAGAGGGAGAGAGAGAAACATCAATGATGAGAGAGAATCAGTGATTGGCTGGTTGCCTCCTGCATGCCCCCTACTGAGTATGGAGCCTGCAGCCCCAGCACACACCCTTGACTGGGACCCTTCATTCCACAGACCAACGCTCTATCCATTAAGCCAAACTGGCTAGGGCTCTTCCTCTTCTTATAAGGACACCAGCTCTATCAAATTAGCGCCTCGCCCTTATGACCTCATTTATGCTTGATTACATCTTTAAGGTAGTATCTCTGAATACAGTCACCGTCACTTGGAGGGCTAGGCTTCAATATATGAATTTGGGGGGCGACACAATTCAGTTCATAACAGGTGTGGGCTGGGCTTTGGAATACTTTAAAAATGCCAATGATTCCTGATGGGCAGGTAAGTTCCCCTTTCCTTCCTTTGAGTTGGCGGAGACATAAAGAATTAGAGTACCGTAAACATTCTCCCAAAAAAGCACTTGAGGGGCCTTTCTACATGTTTGAACAATTGTATGCTTCTAAAAGGAATGGGTATGGTATCAGGACAAAAAATATCCCTGACTGTGCCTTATCTTTAGGGGAACTGAAGGGTAAACAATCTGGAGCAATTAATGGTTAGTCAGCTCTGAAACTATTAATGTCAAATAGCAATAAAATAGCTGATGCCAGTGAACCAAGGAAAGCAGTTCTAGAAAAGGAGATCATGTGTTTTAGTCAGTCTGAACAATCCTAACATTTTCATATTACTTAAGCCTCCTGATACTCTATGAAGTGGATAGGACAAGGATTATCACCCCGTTTTATAGGTAAGAAAACTGAGATTCACAGAATTTGACTTTCTTAAGGTCCTACAAAACTTAAGTGACAGAATTTGAACAAGCCTTACTCATTGATCAATGCTATTCCAGTATTTATTCATTCAGAAACCTGTTTTTGTTCAAGTTGGTCTCACTGTGCTAGATATTGAAGGTACGTAATTCCAAAACATGTTACTTGCTCCCAAGGCACTTGGAATCTAAAGGAAAAGATAAAAAGGTAATTACAATACAGTGTAATATGCATCATGATAGAAGTAAGCACTGAATGCTATGATTGCATAGAGGAAGGGTACCTAACCCAGTGGGAAGGGGTCAAGATCTAGGTCTTGATGAGGCTGAAAAACAGATATTCTGACTATAAAGGGTTTAGAGACTTGAAAGAATAAGAAGTTGTCATCAGAGTAATGAAGTTTCTCTTGTGTGTGTTTTTTCTCCTTATGACAAAAGCAGTGTTTCCCACAGGAAAATCAAAGTGAGCATTTAGAGCACAAATAATTTGACTTAATCAAGGTAGCCACTATTAACAACTTGGTATACAGCTTTTCCCATAAAAATGGAACATTTCAGCCCTAACCTGTTTGGCTCAGTGGATAGAGCGTCAGCCTGCGGACTGAAGGGTCCCAGGTTCAATTCCGGTCAAGGGCATGTACCTTGGTTGCCAGCACATCCCCAGTAGGAGGTGTGCAAGAGGCAGCTGATCGATGTTTCTAACTCTAGCCCTCTCCCTTCCTCTCTGTAAAACATCAATAAAATATATTTTAAAAAATGGAATATTTCATTTTAAGGTTTCCAGAATGGTATGGTTTCAAGCTATGACTATGGCAATGTATGTCTGGAAATGAGTGTAAGTCAAGATTATTGAAGTTGAAGGGGCCAGGGAATTGTGAGACTTAAATTGTTGCTTGGACTGGTCAACTACTTGGATGTGGAAATCAGCTAAAATGATGGCAGGACTTGAAGTGCAGAGGAAAACTGTGAGTTTAGTGCTCAGCAGTCAGCTGGTGATGGATGGAGAGAGTTTGTAAAAGAGAAATATAACCTCAGAGGAATAAGGATTTCCTGAAAGCATTTGTTCCATTGTCTGGTACTGGGCAGCTATTTAAAGGTATTTGATGCCCTAGCCAGTTTGGCTGCATGGATAGAGTGTCAGCCTACGGACTGAAGGGTCCCGAGTTTGATTCCTGTCAAGGGCACATACCTGTACCTCAGTTGCAGGCTCCTCCCCAGTCTGGGTTCCTCCAGGAGGCAACCAATGAATGTGTTTCTCTCACATCAATATGTATCTCTGTCTCTCTTCCCTTCTCTTTAAAAATCAATGGGAAAATACCCTCAGGTGGATTAAAAAATAATAATAATAATAAAGGTATTTGAAGATAGTGAGAGGAGAGGAGATTGTGAAAGATTTCATTATATATACCTCAATTGGGGAGAAAGGTCAAGTAGCAAGGTTCATGGCAGACATCCATGAAAAAGCTATCCTATATAATAAAAGCCTAATATGTTAAGTATCTGGTCATCTTGTTGTCCATTCAACCAGTCAAAGTGTAATAGGCTAATGATATGCTAAAGCTGCTCAATTGCTCACTGTGACATGCACTGACCATCAAGGGGCAGATGCTAGCTTACTGCTGGGGTCCAGGCGATTGGGATTGAGTGAGATGGGCTGGACATGCCCTGGAGCCCTCTCGCGGTCCCTCCCTGACTGGCCAACCTCCCACGTCCCTCCTTGGCCCCAATCGTGCACCAGTGGGATCCCTCGGCCTGGCCTGCACCTTCTTGCAATACGGGCCGAGGGACCCACCCCTCCCCGAGTGCACGAATTTTGTGCACCGGGCCTCTAGAAATAAAGAATCTGCTTTGGGCATGTGAGAATCGCTAATCTCAGAAAGACATTTAGAAGAGAGGTGGGGTTTTTGGTTATGCTGAGTCAGTCCTGCGTCTTGAGGTCTATTAGGCTGGGTAACAAACAAAATTTGATTTTACAGGATCTTCTTGACATCTTTACCCATTTTTATATTTATTTATATACTAGAGGTCTGTTGCACGAAGAGATTCATGCAATAGGCCTTCCCTTCTGGCTGCCGGCACCGGTTTTTTTCCGGCACCCAAGACCCAGGCCTTCGCTCCGGTTGGAGCTGCCTTCCGTCCTCCATCTTTGCAGCCCTGGCTGGAGCTGCTTTCCGTCTTCCATCCTTGTGGCTCCGGCTCACCTTCAGTCTTTGCTCTGCCGCTTGGAGCCTCTGTATGCAAATTAACAGCCATCTTTGTTGCTAGTTAATTTGCGTACCATGCTGATTAGCCAATGGGAGGCGTAGCGAAGGTATGGTCAATTACCCTGTCTGTCTATTATTAGATAGGATATTTATATTTTGCTATAATACTACATTAAAAAATTGGGTAGATTTCATACATATATATATATATCATATATGTTTATGTATTTATCTACCTATTGTCTATCTATTTAAAGACAAGAGACACTGATTGACTCTTCTAGAAAGTCATATAGGTCCCATGACTGCATAAGTTCAGGTATCAAAATATAAAACAGCTCCCATATTCTATCATATAGTTAGACTTGTATTTAAAGGTAAAGGCTAAAACATATAATTCAATGGTGGCTTCTGTTGCCAAGGGCTGGCAGCATCTGTTTTTTACTAAGAGCACTTAAGTAAATTCACTGCTTTTGTAGGTATGTCAGGCTGGGGTACTGGGTTTCTAACACACAATTATAAAAGGCCATAAAAGAATTTGCAGTCAGTCAAAGTGTGCCTGTCTGCCTGGCCATCTCTGTCTCTCTTTCTCTCAATAATTTATGAGATCTTAAAAGAAGCTATTTGCTTTATGTTAACTATCCTCTATTGACCTGACCTTAGGTCTCTTTATCTTCTCGTCTGGATTAGGTGCCAGTTCTTCTTGTATTTCTTTAGCATCTTTTTATATATTTAAATCATAACACTTTTTATGTTGTCATAAAGTTATTTATTTGTATGTCTTTTCTACTTACTGTGAACTCTTCAAATTGAGATTGTTTTATTTCTGTAGGCGTAGGTGCATAATAAGCAACATTAAGTGTTTTATGAGTGAATACATATATTCAGTAGTCATGCATAAGCATTGCCTGCCAGGATCCATAAAAAATGATGGCAGATTATGTAATATCTGATTCAGATAGCTATATGCATAGAAAATGAACATTCTTTGGAGAGGCATCATTGCATAGTGGAATGTGGGGTTTGGAGATAATCAGATCTAGGTTTGAATACCAATTCTGCCACTTAATGAGCTATAGGTTACCTTGGACAGATTAATTAGCTTATTTAGTTTCATTATCCTCATCAATAAAGTGGGGTGTTTTCTGCTTGCATATAAACTGCTTGTCATCTAGCAGGTGTTTTTTAAATGGTAGCTCTCATCATTATTAATTGTAGCTCCTCTTTGGTAGCTGCTCAAGGAACTTTCATGTATTTGCTAGATATAATTAGTGCTTTCTATGACACGCCCTATAATCACCAAGGTTACAGAAGTTTGAAACTGTTCCAAGAAGTTGTTTTGGAAGTGTTAAGTACAGAAAATGCTTTTAAGAGATCATTGCTTTCCTACTGTTTGAACATTTTATAATAAAAAATTTTAAATGAAGGATGTGACTATGATGTGTGCTGCAGTTACCATTTAATTACCACTATGTGTATGAATAATTGTAGATTGGTTTCCAAATTTTTCTAATAATTCTAACCCCTTTTTTCTAATGTTTTTTCTAATTATCCCCAACCCATCACACAGTTCTTGAGCTCTTTTTCAGTGTATTTATAAAAGGTGTTATAATTTATCCTTTATTACATATTTGCATGTTTCTCTTTATTATGAGATTTTGAGATTCGACCTTTTTTTTCCTTACTATGTACCCAGTACATGGCTCTGTATTCCCTGAGCCACCAATAAGAACTTACTAATTCTGACTCTATTTCTTCTTATTATTCTTCTGGACTTCTCCCTTTTCCAGGAGACACTTTCCAATTTTGGTTTTAGGGACACAATATTAAAAATAGTGAGTTAGTATAGGGAACTGGTTAATACTAAAGCTTTGGAGCCAGATTAGGTATGCTTGCAAAAGTTTTAACTTCTTTGAGACTCACTTTTTTCATCCTGAAAATATTGGTTATAGGTAATATAAATACGATACTTTAGCATTATTTCTGGAATAGAGAAAGCCTTCATTGGATGGTAAATCTTACTATATTTATAAGGATGTGTCAGGGTATATTGGAAAGAGCATGGGCAAATTTGTTTTAGATAGATTAAGGATCAAATTCTGGCTCTAACACTGAACAGTTTAGTGACCTTGGGCAAGTTGCTTAACTTCTCTGAGCCTCAATTTGTTTTTGTTTTAAATCTACAAAAAAAGAATAGTAATACCTACCTCCAGGATTGCTGGGGGATAATGTATATATAGCACCTGCACAATGCTTGTCATTTAGTAGCCATTCAACAAGTGGTATCTATTATTATTATTACCACGTATAACATACTAGAGGCCCAGTGCACGAAATCGTGCACCTTAAAAGGAACTGTGGGCTGCAAGGGTGTGGTGGGCACAAAGGTGGGTCTCGGCCCATCCTCCGTGCCCTTGCCCAGCTCCTCCCACCGTGGCCCCCGGTTCCCTCTCTACCGGCAGCCCCGTTCCCACCACTCCTATGTGCTGACAGCGCTGGCCCGCTCACACCCGCTGACATCATGGAGCGATTGGGGCTTGCACCAGCAGCAGGTGCGAACAGCAGCTGCTGCCCCGATTACCCCTCAGGAGCAGGGGAAGGTGGAGAAGCCCTCAGGGGCGATTGGGGCCGGCAGCCACAGCATGCACCCACTGATGGAGCTGAGCAATCGGGGCTGGTGCCAGCAGCAGGTGCATCAGGCGGGATTGTGGCACACAGGAGCAAAGAATTTTCAGTAATCCCCAGAGGCTCACCCTGATGACAGCAACCAGCACCCTGCCTTGGTCTGGCGCCCTTGCTCATCTGCTCCACCATATCCCACCATGGCTGACATCTGCCATGTTCCACACTCTGTTGCCTGCTGCCGACATGTGCCATGTTCCGTGTGCGCCCCCTGGTGGTCAGTGCACATCATAGCGACCAGTTGTTCAGTTATTCCACCATTTGGTCTATTTGCATATTAGGGTTTTATATTGCATATTAGGGTCCTATATATATATATTTTTTTCAGATTATTTGATCCTTAAAACAGTTCTGTGAGGTAAAAGAACCCCTCTTTTGCAGATTAGGAAATAAGATCCAGAGCAGTTAAGTGATTTTTTTATCCATGGTCACTTAGGTAATTTTTATATATGTTTTTTAAAATTTATTTTATTTTTAAAATATATTTTATTGATTTTTTCACAGAGAGGAAGGGAGAGGGATAGAGAGCTAGAAATAACTATCAGCTGCCTCCTGCATGCCCTTTACTGGGGAATCGAGCCGACCAAGAATCAATCCAGTGACCTCTTGGTTCATGGGTAGCAGCTCAACCACTGAGCCACGCCAGCCAGGCTTCACTCATATTCTTCATACAAATGTTATTTTTCTCAGGTTCATTCTGAATTACTTTAAATTACTTTTAAATTTGTTCCTGACGGTAATTTTGTGAGTTTTACTATAATCATTGTTCATGTGTCTCCTGAAGGTCCATAAAATAAGTACTTTAACTTAAGAAGTGATGGCTATTAGATTCCCTTTTGTGTCTAATTCTAAGACCCAAAGATGTTTCCCCTTGAATGTCTGAAAAGCTTTCTGAGGTGTTATTTTTATAGGAAGAAATACCATAATTTGATTCATTTATGCTTTTGAGTTTGTGTATAAGTGGTGGATGTTTTGTTGTGTTGTTACAGGTTGATGAAAAGCCAAGAACTTTGATAACAGATAGTCTGGTTATAAAGAATTTTTTACGCAAAATTGTCATGGTGCATCCTAAGGTAAGCTGTTATTTTGCACAATAAAGATTCTCTTATTTAAGTCATTTTTTTTAGTATTTTATTTTATTTTGTTCTTTGTTTTGTTTGTTTGTTAATCCTTATCTGAAGATATTTTGCCATTAATTTTTTTTTTAGAGAAAGTGGACGTGAAGGGAGAGGCAGAGAGAGAGAGAGAGAGAGAGAGAGAGAGAGAGAGAGAAAGGGAAAGAAACACCGATGTGAGAGAGACACATTGATTTGTTGCCTCCCACACGAGCCCCAACTAGGGCTGGGGACTGAGCCTGCAACTGAGGTACGTGCCCTTTGACTGGAATTGAACCCGCAATCCTTCAGACTGCGCGCCGACACTCTATCCACTGAGCCAAATTGACTAGGGCTAAGTCATGTTTTCAAGAGACCTCTACTCTGTAAAACATGGAAGGACCTAGTTGATTCTCTTTCTTTTAATGACATGATAACAACTTTTAATATTGAATTGATTTGGTTTCTGTGTCCCTAAGGCAATCTTGATGTTGGTGATGTGACATAGTTGGGAGCCCTTGGATACAGAGAGATTCTCTTTTGGATTCTTATTCTTATTTCTTTACTTCTGGGGTGACGATGAAAAGGGGAGGGGAGGGGAGGGGAGGGGAGGAAAAGGAAGGGAAACATAGATGTGAGAGATGCATCGACCTGTTGCCTCCCACACATGCCCCTACTGAAGGTGGGGAGCGAACACACAACCCAGTTGTGTGCCCTTGACCGGGAATCGAATCCGAGACTCTTTGGTCCTTAGGCTGAGGCTCTAATCATCCATCAAAACTGGCCAGGAGCTTCTTTACTGTTTTATTGTATCAATTTGGGTACTTCTTTCCACTCCTCTGTGTTTCATTCTTTTTTGTTAAACCTGGCTTTTCTAAAGTGACTAGTAGCCTGGTTCACGAAATTCGTGCACATTAAAAGGGAATTAATTGCCCTAATCGGTTTGGCTCAGTGGATAGAGCATCAGCCTGCGGAATAAAGGGTCCCAGGTTTGATTCCGGTCAAGGGCATGTACCTTGGTTGCGGGCACATCCCCAGTTGGGAGTGTGCAGGAGGCAGCTGATCGATGTTTCTCTCTCATTGATGTTCTAACTCTATATTCCTCTCCCTTCCTCTCTGTAAAAAAATCAATAAAATATATTTTTTTTAAAAAGGGAATTAATTGTCAGAGATATTTTAATATTGGCTATTTGCCCTTTCTCTATAATAGAAGTGTGAGAGATTAAAGAAAATTAGTAAAATGTATATGAAAATAATATATAAATTTATTAATAAATAAACAGTAACAAAAGAATATAGAAATAACAGAGGCATGATATAAAAACAACAAAAACATGATATGAAAACAACAGTGATGCAAACAATGACTGATAAAGTAATTAAACTTATTCTAATATCGCCCTGTACACCACATTAAGAGTGAAAACACTTTCCGAATGCTTGACTAATTTCCCTTGATTTTTTTATTTATTTTATCTGTTTCAAAAAAATTTTTCATTCCTTTTTTTATTAATTAAATCTTTATTGTTCAGATTATTACATTTGTTCCTCTTTTTTCCCCCCATAACTCCCCTCCACCCAGTTCCCACCCCACACTCCTCCCTCACTTCCTATCCACTGTCCTCATCCATAGGTGCACAATTTTTGTCCAGTCTCTTCCCGAATCCCTCTCACCCCTTTCCTCCCCAAGAATAGCCAGTCCACGCTCTTTCTATGCCCCTGATTCTGTTATAATCACCAGTTCATTCTGTTCATCAGATTATTCACTTGATTTTCAGATTCACTTGTTGATATAT